CTTGAACAGCAATACTTAAAATAGCAAGAAGAAGAAGAAGTGTAGATCAAAAACCGACAAACAAAGAGAGAGAACAAACACAATAACAATACCTACCTCGATCAACAAATATAATGAATAACTAAAACCTACATCGATTAATTAAAAACAATATCGAGAAACAATACACGAATAGAAAGAACATACAAAATAGTCAATCATATTATTATCCAGTTCAATAACATGCAAAGGTGAATTTCTCTTCAACAACTCTGAAGATTCCTTGCAACCTACATTAAACATTGGAACTACTTAGAGCATAGAATTATTAAAAATTATTGTGGCTAACTAAAAAAGACAAACCTCGTCTCAAACATTAGGAATACATGTTACCATAGTAATGGCAAAATCCAGCGAACGAAGTAAATAAATCATTGGTTAATCAATGACTTTACTTGTTACATATGATATATTAAAAGCATTGCTCGTAAAGCATAGAAGGAACTCATTAGTGAAACAAAAATTAATTTGTTATAAGAATGCAAAAACAGACTAAACAAAAGTCAATATAACATATTAAAGCACCGTCAACTACACCGTGACTTTATTAAACACAAACCGATCAATTATAAATAATGATATATATTTTTTTTTTGAAAAAGGAATAATGAAATTATTTACCTCGATCTAAACAAAATCTGAGGTATCGGATAAAGAGCAGTGATTAGCACGGTGGAAAAAAGTGTCTGTAAAAAGATCCGAAAAGGACCTGTTTTGTTGTTAATATTACTTATTTTTCTTATGTGAATAAAAACATAAGATCAACACTACTTTCAATAAAAAAAGCAAAAGGAATAGTTAGGGTTAATGTGGTTCAGTTTTCTGGTAATCGTTGTGAAAGTCAATATAAAAGAGAAGAAGAACAAAATGTCCAAAACACAAACGAAAAATAGTAATCAAACATGGGAGGATAGGATATAACTTCATTACCAGATGATTTGTATAGCTCTCTGTCGAATTGATTCAATACAATCAAGTAAAAATCAGCAAAATAATGAATTAGGGTTTGCAACGTAAAGGTACAAAGACATGTGATTATCAACAAGACTATCTCCCTTGGGATAAACGTTGAGAAACCTGAAAGATTACGAAACCAAGATTAAACCCTTTTTAATTAGTGCTACGTACAATCAAACACATATCAATGATCGAAAGGAGAAACCGGATGATCTAGAACTTTGCCTTTTAAGGATAGCAAAAACCTAGACGATCGATCTAAAAGAAAGGGGTGACGTGGCAAAGGCGATTTTTTGGCGACACAAAAGGTGATTTAGGGTTTTGGTTACCGAGCCTCCCGTACTAGGGTGCACGGTGGTTTTTTTGCCGCCGCATTCTGGCCATGGTGGATCAAGGAAGTGTTGCCGTAGGAAAGGGGATCGTGGAACGATCTCAGGGGCATACGGAGGGGTCAGAGGAAGTGGAGATCTCTCGATCACAAGTGAACAAACCATCTTGGAAGTCGGTAGTTCAATCGGAAAACTCTCTTTCGAGATATGAAGTCAGATTTAAGGAGGTTGATGGCGGTCAAG